CAGAAAACTAAGTTATGCTGCAGCAATGAAAATTTTTTTCTATAACTAGCCCGAATTATGATTAATTTATTTAAAGTTGGGTAAATATTTGTTTTAGAAATATTCATAATGAATCAATCAAGTAGTTAATAAAATCGTTTACATATTATCAAGAGTGTGAGAAATCTTTCATTTCCGATCAAAATTTATGTATAAAGGCGAGAAGGGAGGGTATCTATTAAAGCAACAGACGTTAAATTTAGCGACTTAGAGTCATTGTATATAAATAAAGAGTTAATAAACAATTTTATCCACATCATAATCTTTTATTGCTTTACTTTCTATGGTAATAGACCGAATAGAGAATGAGCCTAAATTCTTAACTTGAGATAAGCACAAGACAAAGTCTTATTATATTGCGTAAAAGGATCAGGTTAACTTAAAGGAATAAAGTTAGTGAAACATTTTTTGCAAGAAAAATGAATAAAAGTGTAAAGAGAAAGACATGGCGATTTATTATGATTCTCGACAATGTGACGATAGACTTCTTGGTGACTTTGAGATCCAATCTTTCCAAGAACAAGTTCTACTAATTTTATACTTTCTTTTCAAGCCAACTCAATTCTCGTGGCGAACTTTCAAACTTTTCAGGTTTATCTTCTTTGTCGAGAGAAAGTACAAAAATAATTGCAATGTTATTAAACATCATCAAATTTACATTTACAATATTCATTTCAAAAAATATACTTTACCACAAGATGCAAATATTTCAAAGTGTATCATTCGCGGTCAAATCTATTTTCTACCTCTACATATCCCCTTGTCCCTTTTCCAATTTAGACCACGACATTCATATATTGCACTCAAGCTTCCACCTCTTTAACAAGATTCTCCATTTCGTTCTCTTCATGGGCTCAACCACACTTCTCACAGCTATCCTTTGCTATCTCTCTACTCCTCTCATTCTATCTCGTAATGTTTCTACCATGAATCCTCTTACTTTTTTCCCAACTTAAGCCGATCACACCTCCTACGGCGCATTTTTTTACAATTTTCTCCTCGTCGCATTTTCGCTATTTTATCAAAAAAAATTCAGAGCATTTCCCTCGCAAAATACTTTCAGCCTTTATAATACCAAATTATTTATCACTTAAAAAAATTTTCAACTCCATTATAAAATATTTTAAATTACAATTTGCTTTTAATGTGAATTATTGTCGATTCAATTGTAATCTTGGTTTGAAAAATGGACATTAGAAAAATAAGAACATCAAAAAAAGGCTGGAACTATTACATATTTACTTACGAGCTGACAACATAAATATTTCTGTAAGGATTTTATATTCGTGCATCTACTAAAAAAACTCATACTGTCTAATTTGAAGGAGAGATCAATTAAAAGCTTCGATAAAAAACCGTGTTTTCTTGGAATAAATTAGCGGGAAGCATGAATTGATGTTAAGAGAATAGAGTTGATGATTCCAGGTGTTTTTATTTAACCTTCGAAGGACCAGGAAAATGATAAACACAAAGGTGGTGCAGTTTATGTTCAGCAAAATGGCAAATTAATCATTGACACATATTAGTTTAATTTCAAAAATACTTGTCTTGAGGTTAATATAAGTCTTTTCTCTTTCACTGGTGAGAACGTTCTGAACTTGCTGCTCACTTCCACCTCACTCACACCCCCCTCCCGCTGATAATATTTCAATTAACAACGATTTGAAGATAAAACAATTGGTTCCAACTCAAAATTGAGAAGTTAAAGAAAGAAATAAAATCAGGAATGACAATCTTAGTGAAATAGAAATCTTGATGAAGTTGGATTAATAATTAACATTGTTAATATTTAAAAAAATAAAAGCATCAATCAAGTAGCTGTATCTACTTTTAACAGCAACAAAGAGAAAAAATTTAGCTTCGAACGGCACTTTTATTGCTCTGACCACAACTTGAATGACGGACTTTAGTAATCCGATAAGAGTCGAAGTAACATGGAGTCGTGAAATCGTTTTAAAATTCGTGGCAACATTAATGGCCATCTGTACTTTTGCGAGAAAAGTAAAGGGTCGAGTTTAAAAAGACCAAAGCTACGTAGCTTTGAAGTGGCTCGATCGTTTTCTCTCATGGCCTTGCAAACTGCTCGATTCTTTAGCTTCTATCTTTGCAACTCACAAACTTTTCCAGTGTCGTTCTTTCATTTCTCATGAATATTCATCTGCCATTTATTATCGCCGAGTTTTCAATCTCTTTGGTATAACTAACGATCTAAAGATTATCATTTATAACCCATTATTAAAATCATAGTTTAAAATCATAAAAGTGTCTTCTCTTTTTTGGATAATAAAAACATTATGACAAAAAATGCAAAACTGAAATATATGATTTTTTTACTGTAAAAATATAAAGACAATTTTCACTCTATAATTTTCGATGGTAGGTCTAGTGTTTTGAATTTCTTTTCGTTACTTCTATCTAGGATCTGTTCAGCTGTTAACTGAGCCTATCAATATATATCTAGTGCTGAACAGTGCTATTTTTTTTCGGCAGTGCTTATTCCCAAGTCTTTGTAAATCCTTCCATTTGTAACGAATCAGGGAGCATTTACTTGAGACTCTAAGAGCTTTAGATTGAAATAGTTGTATTATTTAGATTGAGCTAATGCATGCTGAGCCCTAAAGCTGGATACCATACGTCCATATTGGCTTGATGATAATTTTGTCAATCAAGAGTTTATTTTCTAATTTTTATTGATACATTTTTTTTTCTGATTAAGTCTCGTGTAGACTAAAATACAACCATGAATAAATGATTTAAAAATCGAAGGACAAAAATAAATCGAATTCTCGGTAGAATTGAAAATCTATCTCACTATAAACAAGCCTTATCTTTGTGAAAAAATTTTCCAGCGATCTCGGGCGACGTAAAATATACGTCGAAAAAGAGAAATGGTGTAAATGCAAGTGAAATAACAATAAAGTGATAGTTGTGAGTGTATTCAAATAACTCCAGTAATCGTTTTAAAATGGAAATATAATCAAACATCAGCGATAAATTGTAAGAGTTTTACAGGTAGTAAAAAATAGACTCTGGCTCGGTTATCTCTGTCGTTACTTTGTACTTGCCAAGAAATACCCATGGAGAGTCGTTGGAGAATTTAGTGAAGGCGCAAGTTTCCGCGATGAGTTTTATCGCCTTCTCTCCACGTTGTATCGCACAATCTCCGTTGGCCGAGACTCTTGTTTCTCGTTATCCTTTTTTCTCTTCTGCTACTTCCTCTCTGACTATTTTTGTTTGTATTTCGCGGTGATCTTTCCACCGGAAGCGGATGTCCGCGCCGTGAAAAATGGCCGCCACTTTACTTCCGGGTCGTAGTGCAACCTCCACTGCCACACTCTCTATCCCTACTCTTCATTCTCTTGCTGCGTATCATCCAGCCCCTCCTGGTTAGTGAGAGATACTGCTTCACATCTATCCAACTCACTCTTTACCCTTTCAAACTACGCTTTTCCTCCCTTTCAATCCCTCGTCAAGTATCCAGTATGTAAGCTTAATGCGGTATGCACACGTTTTAGCACCAGTGGCTTCATATAATCCTACTCCCCTTCGTTGCTCTAAATTCCCTAATTTTTTTCTACTCTCTTGCCAATTTATTTTATTTTTATTACATTTTAAGGGTCGATGTACTACCCGTTACCAAAAAGTGGAAATAGAAATGTAAAAAAATAAAATAAAATCATAATAAAAAATTTTTATTTGCAAAAATGTCAGAATAAAAGGTTGCAAATAATGAATATAAATGAACAAATAAATAAAATTTACTTTCAAAAAGTTGTATTTTTTATCTGAAGAAAAAATAACATTTGATGGAAGAGGTTTGTTTATTCATAAGCCACAGGGCTTTTTTAAAACTGAAATTTTTTTTAGAGTAATTTTGCAACTAAAGCCCTTTTATGTAAATTTAAACCAATTGATCTTTGAAAGCTAACATCAATTTATATTTTAGATCATTTTTAAAACCTATAAAGCTTCTATTTGGTAAATATATTATGAATGCAACGAATATAATAAAATTGCTCCAAAAAATAGTAAATCAATTTATGCTTGATGTAATGAAAATTTTAACGTATGAATTGATATAAATTTGGAAGAGATTTGGAGTAAATTTATTTAATTGATTAAAATGAATAGTAAATTATGGTAAAGTTTTTAAAAATAATTGTATATAAAAAATAATTATTATGTATTACATATAATATTACACATTAAATGAATAAAAAATATTTTCTTTTTATTTAAAAATATAGTGAGTCATTTGTTTTATTAGCTTTTATTCACCTCCAAAATGACAACTGACAATTTTTCATCAATTATTTCATTATCCTTCGCTTTGAACTGCATATTTTTTTTTTTCAAACCTGGTCATGTGTTACTTTTCCTTTTTTTTTTAAAGTTCAACGTCCTTCAATGGCTGGAAAAACCTGCAAAGTTAGATTCTATCCAGATTCCAGTGAAACTTCAATTTTTTTCAATATCTAGCCTCCCCATCTGCAATCCTTTGATCTAGGGTTGATCGATGAGGTTTTAGAAATATTAAAAAAGCAAAAAAAAAGTAGTTGAAATGTTTTAGATGGCCTTTGTAAGTTTTAAAACAAGGAAAATGTTCATGACATTTAGAGATGATATCTAAAATGCACCAGTAATGAGACTGGCTCAAACAATTGACATCTCTAAGTTGTTTGAATCAATTATTTAGGTACTTCATTCTTTCGGGACTTTTCTTTTTTTTTTTTTTTTTATCATATACCAGACTCCTGGGAAAAGGTGTTGACATTACAAGTTTCAATGGCCTGAATATCTTTTGTCTTTGTGTTAACATTTACAGTCTGATACGATTACTTCCGTTTGTCAGAAATAGAAGTAAGTTGAATAGAACCAATGTAGCTTTTATCATTTCGATCCTTTGATCCTTCCACATTGTTTCTACCTTTGTAACATGACCTTTCCGCCTGATGTTTCAGCAAAGTTTCGAGGATGCACTGAAGTGAGAGGCTGAAGACGAGCGAGTGGACGCTGGCAATGGATCCTACTTCGCTACTGCTACTACTTACAAGTAAGTATGAATAAATAATTCATTCTATATTTAATCGAAATTTTATTATAAATATTTTCAACTAAAGTTATAATAAAATTTTTTCGTAAGATTGTTCAACTTGTAAAATCATTTTAATCGTAGATATTGTAAATCAATTTCTACAAGTTTTGAAGTTGCCAAAGTTTGTAACATCAAATTCGAAAGTGTTCAAATCAAAACTTGACTTTTATCTAAAGTAAATTTCAGAAATAAAATCAAGAAAAAGAATTAAAATTTGTGAAAAGAAAGTTTGGGTTTTTTTTTTTGTTCAAAAAATTTATCAAGTTAATAAGTTTTGAGAAAATTCCATTTGACTGAAAAAAAAAGCTAGTCATTTGGAGTGAATTCATCGGACTTCCAGTCTCGTGCACGGTAAATGTAATCTTTGAAACGACAGGTGTGCAAATTCTGTGCAAGAAGAAGGTATATAAAATGGAGTAGTGCCAACAAAAATATAAAATTGGCAGGGATTGAAGTAAAATTCATTATTTTTTTTTCATCAATAAAAATCAATAAACATCTTGGGACACTTTTTAAAAAATATTCCTATCAATAGATAAAATAATTGGATATACTTATTGTGATTGGCTTGTTAAATTTTGTCATCTCAAGAGACCAATGGATTCCATCAAGTAGAAGCTGCAAGTGGAAGAGAAATGATGACGAATAAATTCACGCTTATACGTTTGGTTTGGCAACGAGACCGCTTGAGTCCCTGGACATTGCACGGATGACGAGTAATCGATCACTAGCTCTCTGTAATAAAGAGGTTGCTTCAGTGGTTCTTCCAAAAAGTAGGGGGTTTTTTTCAATTTAATCTCCGTCCATTTTCGTATAATAATAGATGAAAAATAATGAAATGGATATGAGTGGTAGAACAAAGATGAACATGAAATAAATATGAGAGTAACTTGCATTGGATTTTGGAAAATAAAATTAGAGAGAATAAGTGACAGAATTGAGGATCCCTGGGAAGGAGATATCTGCTGGAGGGGTTCGTAATGCTCTCGTGAAAAATACAGACAGTCCCCGCGTTCGTCCCTGTATCGATTTCTGGCCGATGGAGTATCGTGATACTCACACTCTTTTCTACCTCACATTTATTCCATCCCTCTTTGCCTCTTGGTTTCCACCAGTTTTCTCTGTATCCTCTACTTTGTGGAATCCTCATGAGTACATAGACCAGTATATCTAATCATATTCAACTCGTCTACTTATTTTCATCAAACTCTTTTTCTTTCTCTAAAGCTACTACTCATCACTCTCTTTCCCTTGCTCACCCTCTTGGTCTTCTATATTAATTAGCTAATTTACGAGACTTTGAATTTTTTCATTTTTTCCACAGACCCACTGTCGCGAATGTACATGCATTTCCCAAGGGGAATTCACGAGCTTCTCGCTATGGAGGCAAATCCATCATGCGTCTGTAGCACGACTAATCCATCACGTGGAGCTTGTACATATTCCGCTTGGCCCATCATCAATGTTGGGTTATTTTTTTTTCTTTTATTTATTCATGATGCGTTCAATGACATACATAGAATATTTTAGTTATCGAGTATGACGAGAAGAAATAAAAATAAAATCAAGCTTCTCAACAATCAGTGTAGTGATCAAATTATTTTTCACTATTATCACATTCAGGCATTTTTAGCTTTGATTTTTAATTTTAACGCTACTGACGAATTTTATTATTTTTTTTATTCATCTCTTGAATTATAAATTTTAATATGAAAATTTTATATAATTGTTTACATTCATAGTTGTCAAGAAAAAACAGTGCTGATATTACTGTAAATTTTAATTTTAAAAGTGTTTTATTTTAATGCACTAAAAGTGTTTCAAGAATGATTATAATGTGCTGAGAAAAAATTGTCACTATATAAAAAAATGTTCATTTAATCAGTGAAAAGAATTTAAAATATTAATTTGTTAATCTTGGGATTTACAGCTTTTATAGCAAAGCTACTCTTTGTACATTAAAATTAGAACATTATTTAAAAAAAAAATTAATAAATTAAATCAAACGAAACAAACATTTTATTATGACTATTCAAAGTTTTAATTTTATTAATTAAAAAAAATATTACTTGTTAATAGTAAAAAAATTTCCAATGTGTTTATCAACTGGGTGATAGATTAAAACACATTAAGTGTATTGAAATGAAATATTCCGATTTGCAGTGCAATGTTAACAGAATGAAATATAACTATTTCAATATTTGGATATAAAATACAACAATTTTTATTCCGCGAATTTCGGGTGTTGGGTGATGCTTGCTACTAGACCGGATAACCGGATATCAGTGTGTCTTATCCGGCACTCGAGAGCAGTGGAACGATTGGAATGGCGATTTCACCCTACTGAACGAGTAGCATGTGTAGTTGGAGGTGTGAAAATGGATGGAACGCAGTATAGAGAAGGCAAGTTGTCGTTGTGTGAAAAGTAACGCGAGTCACAGTCGCTTTACTCTTCTCTCATAGTTGTTTTCTCTCTGTCTCTTGCTTTTGTCTTTCTGCAGTCAAACTGCAAAGTGAATAAGCAATAACAACCAGCTCACTCGCTCTCATGCATGCACTTGGAACACACGTTTACGTGTTCCTCAGTGTAGTAACGCAATAACGTTCGATTATTGGTAGTCACGAGCGCCATGTATGGGTCTCTTGGTCGTATATCAAAGCCAGCAGTGTACACGACCCCCCCTTTCCACCCTCTGTCAACTGAAGTTTACAGTCTTTGTCACCTTCAAACACATGTAAACACACATACACAACAGCCCCATCGACTATCCATATCTAGAAGATACCAAAAGAAAATGGAGAAGAAGTCTATGCTTTAGATCCTACAGTAAACCCTTTTCACAATTCATCCCTCCTTTTTTCTCTGTCTCATAGACTTGTCGGAACTTTTTTGTTCGCACCCTATTTGTTCGACATTCTTTTTGTTATTTGCCATTCGTTTTATTCGCATTCTGCTATCTCGTTATTTGCTTCGTACCACCACCACCACCACCTCCCTCCTGATTATCCGTCTCTTTATCCCTTTCCTATTATTTTTTTTTTTTTACTTTAACGTTTAGTTCATTTTTTTTTTCATACGTGACTGCACGTTGCCTCGCTTTATTCCGTGGTTAGTCGCACTTTATATATTTTCAAGTCCTCGATTACTTGACGTTTTTTTTTTTTTTTCATCTCACTCGTCTCTTTACTCCTCGACATCCGCTTTCGACTTCCATCGAAAAATTCTCTATTTTTAGTCTTTTTCTATTCGACTTCCAGTTCCTTCGCACCTTTCTTTCCTTTTTCTACTCTCATTTCCGGCGTGTCCTATTCGATCGGGTGAAACGAGTACCGAGAGTAGATTTAAAATATCTCTGGAAATTCGAATACTCTCATTGATCCAAATGCAAGTTCTCCAATTCATCGTTGGATTTGTTTAGAAGCAAATTCTTTTTCTTTCATCATATTTACTATTATTATTATCATTGTTGAATTGATACGATATAAAAACATTCAAGTTGAAGGATTTAATTATAACATAATATTGATATAATATTTATTCCAAAAATAAAACAATTTTTTTTAATAATTCCTTTTAGTAGAGTTGTTAGATAAATTTTTCATGGTAGGTCGAAAATTGGATTTAGATTATTTCTACTAAATAAAATTTATTGACAAGTTACAGCATAGAATAAAGAACGTACACTGAGAAAAAAAAATTATTTCATACAGGACTTATAACTTTTATTGCCAAATATTTTGTTCAAGTTCAAAGTAATATTATAATTCATTCGAGGGGAAGGTAGGATTATGGGCCACTTATAAACGGATGGACCATATTACAGACTGGACCATAATCCTACCTTCTCCTCTATCGTAAAACTATGGTTAATGAATTGTTGTGTTAAATTTATAATTTCATATTTTCTCACTATTTTTTTTTTTAATCTAATTTCTATTGTAAAATGGCAAAAAAATTTAATGAGAAAAAATAATAGCATTTATTAATGAAGATTTAATAGTCAATTTTCGTAGAGCATGTCAATTTTCTCGGGATTTATCGCATATAAATTTTTATATATTTAAAACAAAAAACAAAAAAAAATTGTAATTTAAGCATCAATAAAAGTTATTTTCTCTCACGTTTTTAATCACAAAAATATATTAAAAAAACTAGGTAGATTATATTCACACGTGATTTGATTTTTATTTTTTTTTCTTTGGTTATTGCAATTTTCCATAAAATTTGACCTCTGGAATAGTACAAATGGAAATTGATGTTCGGAGGGAGAAAACACGGCAACTGGCTCTGCTGGTTCATCCACTGCAAGGGGAGAATGCCCGACAAATGGCGTGCCGATATAATCGGCTTACAAACATTCACAGGCTCCTCAATGCGTATGGGATCGGTCCAACGTCATCCTCAAATCCCTCTCGATATTCAGCCAAAGGGAATAAACAAGCCGCATATGGCTAAAGTACCTTTTAGATTGCTTCATACGCACACTTTTTCCTCAATTCTCTCCCTTGCATTCAAACACTTATTATACTAATGCATCAAAACTATCACCAAATTGAAGTGCATCCAACCTCCAACAGTGCCTATTTGTAAGCCAACTATTTCAATGTATTATATACCCTAAGCTCTATTTACCCAGCTCCCTTAATATTTGTCTTAGAATATCTCCAAGTAATGTCTAATTAACTTTATACATTTATATTTCATCCATTCCCCTAGAGGATCAAACTGGCTTCAACGATTTTTGCTGTCTCTGAGAATATTTCGAAAAAAAAAGGAAGAGTGCGATAACAAAAAGTCGAGGATCGATGGGTAGGCGATTGGATGGTGAAAAGCAGTTGGAAGCCACGAGAGAAATACGAGAGGATAGAGAATATAGTGGGTGCAAAGAGAGGGTTGAACTCGAGAGGGCGAGGACCTGTCGGGCGGATTCGAGTGTCTTGTCAATATGTATAGTGTC